AATCTGGACTCCACTCACTACTGTCTGGAGGACGAGGGAAAAACATTCACCCTCCTAATAATGATTCACTAATAAAGATGGGCTTTGAGCATAGGGCTCCCATCATCCTATCTATATTATAAAAGTCATCTTGAGGTAACACTTGTAAAGGTCTCACCAATGCATCTGGCATGTATTATGGGCTTTTAAGTGGCCCTTCTTAGTGAGCTAGTGATGTACAGAAAATGCCATTCACGCTGTGTGCACCAGGGGGCACTGTGAGGTTTAGTCTGAGGCCCCTAATGAGTCCAAGTCCTCTGGTAATGCTCAAGTGCAAAGGGCACGACTGCTGCTTCCTTTGAGGCCCCTTCTATTGGGTAAATCTGAAAACACACTCGGCCCTTCGTATTACCTTGGGAAATTACTCAGAGAAGGCCTCGGGCTCAGGGCTAACACAAGAACCAGGACAAATATTTCAGGGAATGGAGAACAGATTTGCATCCACTGCTCCACAGCCACCTAACAGGACACAAGAATAAAGGAAGTAGATTTGCATGAAGAGCCTCCCTTCCTATGATAAGACAGGCCTGAAGGTTCCTCCTTAGCTGTGGGCTCAGAGGCAGAGCTCTGGGGTGTCTCCACCATGGCCTGGACCCCGCTCCTGCTCCCCCTCCTCACTCTCTGCACAGGTGCTGCCTCCCAGGGCTCAGTCCCTGCAGAACCAGGGATGAGCCTAGCCCTGACCTTTAGGTCAGCACAAGGAGTGATGCGCGGGGTAAGGCCCTGGGAATGAGACTCATCCTCAGACACCTTTCCTGTCTTCTCTTGCAGGCCCTGTGGTTTCCTCTGCAATGACTCAGGAGCCTGCAGTGTCTGTGGCCTTGGGACAGACAGCCACGATTACCTGCCAGGGAGGTGGCATAGGAACCTATACTGCAAGCTGGTATCAGCAGAAGCTGGGCCAGGCCCCTGTGCTGGTCATCTATGGTAACAACAACCGGCCCTCAGGGATCCCAGACCGATTCTCTGGCTCCAGCTCAGGAAACACAGCTTCCTTGACCATCACTGGGGCTCAAGTGGAAGATGAGGCTGACTATTACTGTGGCTCCTGGGACAGCAGTGGTACTCATCCCACAGTGATACAGACAGACGGGGAAGTGAGACAGAAACCCCTTCCCTCTCTGTGTCACCCTCTCTCTCCAGCCCCAGCAGGACTGTGAACAAAGCCATAAGCAGGGCTGGCCCAGTTCACCTGGATCTGAGGCCTTCAGGCTGCCCTTCCCTCCAGCCCTCCAGGCAGGCACTGCAGAAGGTGGGTCAGGATAGGATTGGAGGCTGGAAGGACCACGCTGTTCTGCTGTAGTTTGGACTGAGTGTGTCTTGGCTCAAGATGCCCTGAGTGGAAGGACAGTAAGAGGGAGACAGACAGCCATGGAGTGTCCATGGTCTCTGGAGTTCCTCTTATGTAATGACTGAATCTAATACAATACCTGTACTCTGTGGCCCAAATGCCCTGGAATTTTTTTTTTTTTTTTTTTTTTTTGCATTTTAGGTTTTGGGGTACATGTGAAGAACATGCAAGACTGTTGCATAGGTACACACATGGCAGTGTGATTTGCTGCCTTCCTCCCATCACCTATATCTGGCATTTCTCCCCATGCTATCCTTCCCCAACTCCCCACCCCTCACTGTCCTTCCCCTATTTCCCCCTAACAGACCTCAGTGTGTGATGCTCCCCTCCCTGTGTCCATGTGTTCTCATTGTTCAGCACTTGCCTATGAGTGAGAACATGCGGTGTTTGATTTTCTGTTCTTATGTCGGTTTGCTGAGAATGATGGTTTCCAGGTTCATCCATGTCCCTACAAAGGACACAAACTCATCATTTTTTATGGCTGCATAGTATTCCATGGTGTGCATGTGCCACATTTTCCCTGTCCAGTCTATCATCGATGGGCATTTGGGTTGGTTCCAGGTCTTTGCTATTGTAAACTGTGCTGCAATGAACATTCGTGTGCATGTATCCTTATAGTAGAATGATTTATAATCCTTTGGATATATACCCAGTAATGGGATTGCTGGGTCAAATGGAATTTCTATTTCTAGGTCCTTGAGGAATCGCCACATTGTCTTCCACAATGGTTGAACTAATTTACACTCCCACCAACAGTGTAAAAGTGTTCCTATTTCTCCACATCCTCTCCAGCATCTGTTGTCTCCAGATTTTTTAATGATCGTCATTCTAACTGGCATGAGATGGTATCTCAATGTAGTTTTGATTTAGATTTCTCTAATGACCAGTGATGATGAGCATTTTTTCATATGTTTGTTGGCCTCATGTATGTCTTCTTTTGTAAAGCGTCTGTTCATATCCTTTGCCCACTTTTGAATGCGCTTGTTTTTTCTTGTAAATCTGTTTTAGTTCTTTGTAGATGCTGGATATCAGCCCTTTGTCAGATGGGTAGACTACAAAATTTTTTTCCCATTCTGTTGGTTGCCAATTCACTCTAATGACTGTTTCTTTTGCTGTGCAGAAGCTGTGGAGTTTGATTAGGTCCCATTTGTCTATTTTGACTTTTGTTGCCAATGCTTTTGGTGTTTTGGTCATGAAGTCCTTGCCTATGCCTATGTCCTGAATGGTTTTGCCTAGATTTTCTTCTAGGGTTTTTATGGTGTTAGGTCTTATGTTTAAGTCTTTAATCCATCTGGAGTTAATTTTATTGTAAGGTGTCAGGAAGGGCTCCAGTTTCTGCTTTCTGCACACGGCTAGCCAGTTTTCCCAACACCATTTATTAAACAGGGAGTCCTTTCCCCGTTGCTTGTTTTTGTCAGGTTTGTCAAAGATCAGATGGTTGTAGATGTGTTGTGTTGCCTCCGAGACCTCTGTTCTGTTCCATTGGTCTATATCTCTGTTTTGGTGCCAGTACCATGCTGTTTTGATTACCGTAGCCTTGTAGTATAGTTTGAAGTCCTGTAGTGTGATGCCTCCCGCTTTGTTCTTTTTGCTTAGAATTGACTCATCAAGCTTCCAATGACATTCTTCACAGAACTGGAAAAAACCACCTTAAACTTCATATGGAACCAAAAGAGAGCCCGCATAGCCAAGTCAATTCTAAGGCCTGGACTATTTTTTAGAACTCTGCATGTTCCACTGAGACCCTCAAGCCCCAGCTCCTGATGTTCTAAACAGGAAAGTCTTTCCTAGTGAGCACTGTGGCATCCCTTGGCATCCCCGGCTTCCTACGGCTCTTTCCCACTAAAACAACTTTATGCAAAGATGTGCCTCCTTCAGAATGTGGTTCAAGAGCAATGACTGCCTGAGGCCTTAATTCCAAAGCCATGCTTTAATTTAGGGTAAACTTGAAATGCCTTCTAGCTGAGCGATCAGTGGTAACACATTCCCAGTCACGCCTCCCACACTTCTTTCCTGAGAGTATATCCTGAAACTCTACTGCATGGAATCCTCCCTCTCAGAGTAGGATTCTAGGGAACTCAAAACATTAAAAAAAAAACAGTCTAGAGTATCAGAAAGTCTAGTGGGAAGAGTATGAAAAAGAAGAGGATTGCACAAAGAGAGAACTCTGAAGTCTGCAAATATTCATGCACTGATGAGCACTTGTATGTGAAGAGACTCTCTGATAGAGAAAAGAACCACCCAAGACACTTGAGGGAACACTCTACAGAGCGCATGCATGTGCACACACACACACACTCACACTCACACACACACACACACTACAGTCACAGAAGAAAGGCCTGAGTTACAGGGCATGAAGTGGAGTCCTCAGAAGAGCTTTGCCTCAGTACTGGAAAAATGTCACCCTCGACAAATGGCTGCTAGGTCTCAACTCTGAAAGTGTAAAAGCAAACAGAAAATCCAAGCAGGCTTCAAGTAACTTTACTGAATTCGACAATAAGACAAAGGTAGAGAATGAAATGCAAAAGAATCCTAAACCCAGCAGGAAAAATGTGCAATATCTTCATCCTGTCAATATTTCCTGCGGAGTAACCAGAAAATCTATGCCATATCATGCAGAAAAATAAATTAACCCTAAGTGGCAATAAAATTGCACACATGATAGACCTCGTAGGCAAGGATACAAAAGGAATTCCTAGAACTCTGTTCTATGTCACTTGTTCATGAGGATACAGGATTGAACAAGTATGTAAAGAGGAGACATAAAAAATACAGAAGAAAGAGTCACCAACGTCAGTCACTTTCCACTAGAATGTCCACACACGGAAACAACTTCACTGAATTTAAGGAATCCCAGCCTGAAAACACTGTCCGCGGAAAGTCTCTGAGACTGTAGACCACCTGACCTTGTGCCGGTGCCTCCAGGAACTCCAGAGCCTCCAGCTGGACAGCGACAATGTGCAGATGTGGCTACGATGGGATCACTGGTGAGGCCCGGCCTGGTAGGGCCTGCCCTGGGCTGCCCTGTGGTACCTGGGGGCGCCTTTGGACTTGGCCAATGGCACCTGGGCTGAGGGATGAGCCTGCATTGCATCGTGGGAAAAGGCTCTCACTCTGGGCCCCACCTCCTCACAATCATACACGCCACCTCTCTGTGTGGAGCCAGAGGGGTTCACATGTGGCACAGACTGAAGCCTAACTCCATGATCCCTGCCCTCCCAGGTGGCAGGCATTCTGGGGTCACCTAGAGGAGGGAAGCTCCTGGGCTCCGTCTTCCTCACCAGCAGGGGGCAGCAGAGCTGCAGACGGAAGAGGCAGGGTCTGCCCAGGAGGAGGCTAAGAGGGAGGCCAGCCCTGAAGACTCAAGAGGTGTCCAAGGATCAGTCCTGAGTCTGGAAGTCCAGTAAGGTGCCTCGTATCCCCTCGGGCTGCAGGAACCCCGTCCTGAGGGTCAGACTCACACAGTCACCCAGGACACCAACAGGAGCCTGGACACAGTGAGGGCCTCACCTGGGAAATGCAGCCGGAGGTGCTGGGCCCTGGGGTCAGCCTGGGCAGCTCCCGCAGGGCTGGGATTCCCTGGGAGATGCCCTGAGGTCGAGGTGCTGTAGGAGGGGGGCACAGTGTGAGAGGCCGGAGCTCCCAGGGCTTGGGTCCTTCACCCAGGATGGTGGCCTGAGCCTCCTGCCACTCTCAGGAGCTTATCCCTGACTGCCCAGCAGCATCCTGGAGAGCTGAGCTCTCTGTCCTGGGCACTTCCAAAGATGCCCAATCCCTCCTCCCTCCACCTCTCCTTTTAGCTCCAGGCAGACTCTGACTCACAGGGCAGCTCTTGTGCTCGGGGGAGTCTCACGTGGGTGTGGTGATGCATTCAGGGCCCTGGTTCCTGGATGGGACATCACCAGCCTCCTTGAGGAGACGCTGTCCAGAGGGAAGGGGACTCTCACCTGCCTCAGGCCACAGCTCTGACTATGGAGCTCTCCTTGGGTCAGTGACAGGGTCTGCCTGGCTGGAGGGTCAAAGGGCCACCCACCCTCCAGAGCTCAGGCTCTGTGCATGGACTGGTGTCCTGGGACCCTCACGGAGACCACAGGGCCTAAACTTAGTTTCTTAGTCAGGTCTGGGTTTTGGGGACTTTTTACAAGTTTACATGAAAGATTGATTGGAAAAATGTAAGGAATAGAAGAGGTGAAGATGTGAACTGCTAGGCTATTTGGAGGGATGTGGAGATGCCATAGAAGGAGCAACACCATGTGTGAAATGAGACTGGACTGTGTGTGATGAATGCACAAATGCAGGTGGTTTCTCATTACGCACACTGCCACATAGGACATGACCAGCAATGATCCTAATGACAGAAACACATTCTAATGAAATGACTGCAATGAGGAAATAAGTGATTCTGGGGCGCCCAGAGGAGAGATGAAGGAGGAGGAAGAATAATGGATCCGTGGTCCACCTGCTGCTGAGTCAGGTGTCATCAAGGATCAGTCATCAGCAGGGCCCAGCTCAGCCCCAGACTAGGCTCCTCAAAGTTCCACAGTCCGCTGAGCCTGTCCCTGGACAGACCACAGGATACCATAGTTTGAGAAAGTGACCATGTGGTCAATTCCTGGGGAGGTTACTGTGATCACAGACCTTGGAGCCCAAGGCTGATCTTCCAACCAGAGAAGCAGAAGAAAGAAGCCAGGGACCCACCCCTTCCTCCTCAGCCTCCTGCGCTGCCCCCACAGCTGGTTTTAGACATCCCTCACTGAGGAGTCCCAGGGGATGTACATTTGCATAAGCACCAAACACTCACTGCCCCAAAGGGCTTGAGAG